TTTTGAAATTTCTTTTTTGGTGTAAGTGTATTGAAAATATTTTTATAAAGACGCCTTAGTGCGGAGAACTTTGTAATGATTCTCGTATCGTTGAGAAGCCATACAAAGTGTTTTTGTATTTGAAAGTATTTAGAAAATAAAGTATATGTGTGAGAAATTGTCTTGTTTTATGAGCAAGCAACTACAAGTTGTCTACCTACTCGAATGGTCTTTGTTCTTTTCTTCTTTTCCTTTAGATAATGTTATCCTACCATTAGTTAGTAGGTAGCCCTATTATTAGATGTTTTTAGGGACATGCGAGGGTCATCGTACAGTCACGAAGACAACTCGTAAGATGCTTTAGCAATTACCCTAAGGTACTAAGATCATTTACCGAGGCAACGTCGAAGGTTCATCGAGGAACTATGATCTTGTAACGAAAGGGTCTTCGCTAAAACTTCTCACATTCGAGAGACGTGACTATTTATTTTCTGAAGGCAATAAGTGGAGGTTCCTTAGAGGTGTGCATGTTCGAAGTGCGTTATGTTTCAACTATATTTGTCTTGGATGTTAGGTTTTCTACCGTTTACTTTTAAGTCTTATCATACAAACCTATTAGCATACATCTAGCAGTTAAATATGTACATAGGGCAGAAAATTAAAGTGCGAGAATTGAACTACGCTATTACATCACTTCGGGATGGGGGGAATACAAACCAAAATGGGGAAAAATATAAGAAAGTCCTAGTTTAAACTATTACATCCCTTTGAGCAGTTACAATTATTTATAAAAATAATACGAAAAAATTAAACAAGCGTGCGAAGAGGAAAAGAGAGAGGTGTAAAAAACCCTAAAAAGAAATCTAAGTGGTAAAAGGAAATTTTTGTTGTTTTTGTTTGGAAATATAATTGAATTATAAACCTAATTCTAATCAAACTATAATAAACAAAATAATCTCAAAAAAGATTTTAATTAATTATTTTTTTATTGTAAAAAAAGTTAATTAAATTAAATCCTAAATCTAATTTTTGTTTGATTTTATGATTTTATTAAAAATTAATTGTTGGAAAAGAAGATAATTAAATCAAAATGAAAATAAAACAAGAAAAAGGCTAAATGGGTTGTGTTGCAAAAACATCAGGGGGGTCCAATCCAAAATTTGGCTAGGCCCAATATGACTAAGCCCAGGGGCTAAACATGATTCAATGTGACTGATTCCCTAGGGTTCACCCTGACCATGTTTATTTGGAGCGCTGGATCTTGAGAATGATGATCTAATGGTGCTAACTGGAAGTATACACCGTGTGCACGCTTGCTTCGTCCCTACTGGATCTGAAATGAGAAACAAAGAAAAATAAAAAAAATGCCTCACGCTTGGATCGAACACAGGGCGAGGCGCGGGAATGTCTTACGTGCATGTGTGTTGCCACTGGGGTGGCGTGCTTCATCAGTTAGAATAATTAAACCATAACATTATAATGTAAAATGCCAGCTAGTGCCAGATCATCAAACACGCGCATTTCAATGGGACCCAGAATATTTGAACGAACCAATTAAAATGTTGTTTCAATCCACGCATGCCCTGGCCGGAGTCAACGAGACTCAGGGACGCCGGAGTCAAACTCCGGTCGTCTTCTCCGACCATACCAAAATGTAAATCTGCGAAAATGGCTCAAATAATGAAAACAAAATATCCAAGTCCACTAATTTGGACCTTGCGGATCTGATGGTGAGGTCCATTTGGTCTAGAAGTGTCTGGATTGAGAGACTCGGAGCTCTCGATATCCTACCCTAACATTGGCATGATCTCATCCCTGCGTCCAAACTTGCATGTAACACATTAGTTCTAATCCAGATATTACCAATAACATGAATGTATGTGTAAAATGGATTTAAATTACATGATTAAAGAGTTTGAGATCAAGAAATTTTACCAAACCGATGTGATTGGATGTGGAAGTTTTGGACGTGAAAGGGCTTAACTATGAGTGTGGTTCAATTCTTGGAACCCTCAGGGATGTGATTTGGTCGTTTGTTTGGGTTGATAGCGCCTGGAAATGCAGTTACGAATTTTGAAACTATGAGAATTTTTGAGAATTTTTGGGAGAGCTTGTATGTAATAGTTTTTCGTGTCCTTTGAGCTTTCATTGCTTGAGTATTTATAGAGAGAGTGAATGGGCTAGCAAAGATGGAAATGAATCAAGCATTTAACCATGTTTTAAAACAAGAATAAAAAATTTGAAAAATTTCCAAACTTAAGATGTTCTTGCCATTTTGAATCAGCATGAACCTGGACATGTTACTGCTGGGTTACACGAATTAATGGGCTTTCATCTTGACCCACAAATCCAAACATGAACCTAAGCCCATTAGTCTCACTTTTTATTTTGATTTAATTTGTTTTAAATGAATAAAAAATTCAAATAAAATAAATAAAAATCATTAAAAATAAGGGATTAGTTTTAGGGGTCCTCTAACATATCATGAGCATGTTTGAGTCTCAAAAATTAGGTCCATTGGTTCAAATATTCAAAATTGCCCCATTTGAACTTCATGAATTTCTTCAAAATCTCCCAACTTGTGCAACTCATAACTTGCTCAATTTTCATCTTTTGAAGATGATCTTAGACTTTTTGGAAAGCTCAAGATGTCCTCTACAATCTCTATGTTGATCATTTTTGCTTTTGAAGACATTATCTTGATGTAAGTTGCCTTGATAAAAAGTGTCTTTTGTTGACTTTTGAAAATGACCTATTATGTTTTAGCTCATATCTTTCAAATGAGGCATTTTTTGGACTTGAGCATAAAAAAAGTTGTATGGAATTGAATTTTCTTCAAAATGAGCTTTGGTTGAGAAAAAGTTGATGAAGTGTGTGAAAGTTATGCCTGGTCAAAGTTCAGTTGACTTCTCCTAAGGAAGCCCTAATTTGACAATTTTGGACTTTTGATGATTTGAGAGTTTTCCTTGGGGAATCATGATCAACCCTTGATCAAATGATGAATACCACTTCAAAATGTTGATTTTGACCAAAAAATCTTGAAGTTTGACTATATGTTGACCACAGTTGACTTTTTGATCAGTATAGTTGATTTTCAATCATTTGAGCCATTGACTGAGCAAACTTATTATGTAGGTCTTGAAACTTGACATGGACCTTGTTGAGGACCAATTAAGACCCATGGAAGCCACTTGAGACCTTTTCAATCCAAATTTCTTTGAGAAACTCAAAACCCTAATTGTAGACCTTTGGGCTTAGGAGGAGTATTGATTGGCCAACCCTTGAGTGCCTTGAGTGTCTAAGAAGCCTTAAAAGAGTGTCTTGAGAAGAAAAAGGGAGTGAAAATTTTGGGGTACAACACATGGCCTTACGCAGACCCAAAAACGAATCCTAAAGCAATCAGCCAATACTTTCCCTGTTTTCTTCCTGCTATCCCTTCTGCCTTTAATCATATAAAACCTATTGATGTTAGGTATTTGGTTTCTGATATCACATTATTTCCTTTTGTACCCACTCCGGGTAATATTGCATATCTTGCTTGGCTTAAAATATTTCAAGAGCAACGACAACCTCAATGGGAAAAACTCGTTATTTTTTGTGATTCAACTCTCACGAAATGCCCATACTCTTGATCCCAGCTTTATTCTCGCCTCACTTTTCTTTTGGGAGGGCTCGACCAACACTTTCCAAATTTCTTGTGGGATGTTGACTCCAACCTTGTTTGATGTGGCGGCCATTACTGGACTTCCTGTTATACCCCAATTTTTTCCCTTAAGATCCCTCATCATACTTTGTACATTTTGCACATAGCATTGGTCTCATGGTTATAAGATCGAAGAGCTTTGGCATTAGGGTTTCTCTCTATGAATCTAGGCTGATGTCTTACTCAACATTGATCCAACTGGTGCTCTCATTATTCTTGGTATGAGATTAGGGTTTTGGATCTCAAGCAACATAGACGTCTTCACTAGCAGGGTTCCTCAAGATACAGTTTTTTCTTCATCAGAGCTTTCTTCGAAGAATATGTGCTTTGGGATTCAACCTGTGTACTTGAGACTTTATCATATATTATCTAAGAATGTCATTGAGCTAGGTTTTGTTCCTCTCTCCATCTCAAGCCTTCTCCATCCGTATGCACTCGAGGTCCATTGATTTAAGGTTTCTTCTCTGATTGTGCCTAAGCATGGATGTTGATTATTCAAAAATGATTCATTGTGTTAAGTTTTCTATTTGAGTCTACATGATCATTATTCCTTCCTCATTACGAGTTGTCATCATTTAAGATGTTTGAAGAAGTGTTTGATACTTTCATACAGTCAAGGGTTGTTCTTTGTTGTTAAGTTATGAAGGTGGAGGGTTATTTCTTGAATTTTTGATTCGATTGAAGATTAAGGTTCATTAAATCAAGGTTACCCTTAATTGAAGATTTGAATTGAGGTCCTTGGGGATGATCTGAAGATTCACTCAAGAAACATCATTGGATTTCGAGTTGATGCAAGATTTGTTCCATTTACAAGGTCTTCCAAAAGTACCATTCAAGTTTTCATAAAGATTCGAGGGAATTTGCAACAAAAAATTGTTTGAACTTTTCATGGCATTTTAAAGTAAGGAAACAAAAGACAAGTTTCATTCAAGTTTGCTTTCAAAAGTTACAAGGTGGATTCATGTGGTTTTTCTCATTCAAGTTCGAATGTCGTTCATCATGATTTTCCAAACTCAAGTGATTCTAAATCACAAAGTTTCATCAAGAATTATCCATGTATGATCAAGTCCATTAAAATTCTATTAGAAATCCAAGCAAGTCTACCATGATTCATTACACAAAATCAAGTTATTTCATTACCAAGTTACAAGAAAGTTACAAAAGAAACATAAAAATTCCTAAAGTCTTTTTCCTAGTCTTCAAAATTTCCACCATTTGAAGCGTTTATCTTCATTCGAAACTCCCCCTGTACCATTACATGAACTTATTCCAAAACAACAGCCCTATTTCAATCTATTGGCACAAGCTCACATGAATATCAGGAGTATGTCATGCTGCAAACACAGGAGAGAAAAGTGAGTAAATTCATATGCAACCCTGTAAAAATGATTAGCCAAAAACACAATAAACCAGTTCAAACATAAGAAGCCAGATATAGGTGTGGGAAATTCTATGGTTTTTCATCTAAAAATGGAGAAGAAAGTAAGCATACTGTCAAAATGTACCTACTGGTGATGATCCTCCATTATCTCAACAGCGGAGAGTTGCAAATCATGTGCACTCAGTCGTGTTACGGTATAACTATTACCACAAAAAACGGCATCCAGAGCTAGCGTTTGTGGCATTTGAGGAGTTCTGCAAATTGGTTGTGGATCTGAGCCCAGCTTTATTAGCATATTTGAAATTCACCCAGAAGCCTGATCAACGTACCCTTTTGATATGGAGCAGCAGCTGTCAATAATAAGAAGAAAAAAAAGACTGATAAATAGAGGAGAAGGAAACTCAAAGTAAATCAGAAATAACTATAACAACTCTAACTGATTTTTCAACTGAATTCCTAACTGTCATAACAGAAATCTGTTGCAGCTACTGATCCAAATCTCTAACTGCCATAACAACCCTACCTAATATTATATCAGATGAGTCTCATCTGTTGGATCGGATAACCGTAAATCCAAATCAGTGGCTGAAGTTAATTCTGATATAACAGAATTTCTACTGGTATATAAGAAGATGCTAACAAAAGAATTGGGGGGATTGTTCACAAAAAATACACGCTCCATTATCACGCTGGCTGTTACCTTTCATCTCTCTTGACAACTTCAATCTTCATAACCATAGCTTCAAGTTGCAATTCCTCTCAACAACTAAAATTGCGTCATTTAACAACAGCATTGTGATAACATCACAATGATAGCATCGATCGGCAATCAGTGATAACCTCATGTAACAGCAACCTACAGAAACGAAAAAGCAAAGAGAAGAAGCACGAAACGAACGAAGAAGAATTCAAGAGTGTGTACCTGAGTTCTTAAGGATCTTTTCTGGATTTTGAATCGGTTTCGTCAAACTCGAAGGTGCTCCGGACATTTTCCGGAAGGTAAACCTTGAACTTTATCATTTATTATTATGTTTTTGTGTTCGTGGATATGTATTGTTGTTGTGTGAACAAATCGGTGTTGAAGCTCATAAATGAAGTTATGGCATTTTGACGACGGAGATGCTTGCGGAGTAAGGTGGATCGCGATAGAGGCATATATGGAGATCTGCAAAGAGGAAATTGATGACGGTGATGAGCGAGATTGAAAAACGATCGCGAGACGTTGAAGTAATGGAGATGATAGATGGAATCAGAGTTGAGGGGTGAGCGGAGCTTCAAAATCACGATGGAGGGGGAGACGGAGAAGAGTGCCGCCGTATAGAACTCATAGAAGGAGATTTCGTTTGGAGAGGAAGCGCCACTTCTTTTACCCTATATGTACCAATGCATTGTCGTTTCAATTACCATATTTCTTCATTTGTTTTTATTTACTTATTTTATTGAAATTGTTGAATAATTGATCAATAGGAATTGATAAATATGGTATAATATAATGCTGAGAATAGAGAAACATAGTGAGACTTGGGCTTATCGAAATCCCATAGGGTCTGTGTTCAATTTTTTTGGATAACCAATACCTTGTTCAAAAAAAAAGCTTCTTCTGGATGGGCTTTGTGCTCCATTACTGAACCAACCTCTGGATCCAGGCTATATTCCCCCCCTGATCCTTCTTTCTTCTTATTAATATTTGGGGGATTTTCTCTTAACTTTTTTTTTCTATAAATTTTTTTTTACTAAATCAATAAAAATATGTTAGTTTTTTTTATTATTTGATTATTAGGATTTAATTCATGATTTTTTTACTTGAAACTTGTGATTTATCTTTGCTTGTTGAGCCGAGTCTTATGCAGGTTCATTATTTGATATGCGGATGTGTTTTGGATTCCTATCGTGATTTATTTTCACATTGATGACGCTTCAACACCTATTCCAAATATCTGACTGTGTGTTTGTTGATGCTAGCTCGCGCGAAGTATTCTGAGTTTCTTTACTTTGGTTGCGCTTTTTATGGACATCATTGTTCGTTTGGTATTATACTGCTTCCAATTTATATTTCTGCATTTATCGCTTTCTAGATATTATGAGAAGTAGGAAATAAAGAGCGTGCGCTCAAAGTCGCTGTTTAAAGACCTATAGCAAGCATTCCGCACTTCATTTCTTATATGTGTTGTGCTTGTGTTTGTTTCTTTTCTTGTTGATCGATGAGTCACTCAATTTAGCAATTGAGATCACGACTTCGCTCTCAGTGCATGCTCCCTATAGGATTTTATCGCTTTCCTTTATTTCTTGTTGATCGATGAGTCACTCAATTTAGAAATTGAGATCACGACTTCGCTCTCAGTGCATGTTCCCTATAGGATAGTTTTGTTAGACTTTCTTTGGCATGCTAACTTAGATAGGATCCCTCATTGTATGATAACATTAGGTTAGAGATATGTTAGTCTCCCTTAGATGTTTTCTTCCCATTTTTTGCATAATTGCACTTAAAACTAAAACTTCTTTTTTCTTGGCAAATGTATAAAAAACACTAATCATACAAAAATTCTTTTCATGGTAAAAAATACCAACCAAACCATTTCTTCTCGCCATTCGGCTTTTCTCTTCTAAAAGCATGTTAGCTCCTTTCTACTACAGGTCATAAGTCTCCAAAGGTCGAGCAGCGGTGGAATGATCGAATGCAACATTGTTCATTTAAAAAATACAAACAAACAAAATATATGAGTCGAACTACGATAGCTCTGATTCCTCAAAAAGGATACGTAGGCATTGAGGTAGGGCCCAAGCGAGTACAACTTTATTTTTCCTACATTCTTTCTCTTTTCTTTGCATGCATTCTCTCTTAGTTTATAACCTTTAAGCATTAGATTGAACACACCCTTTGATTAGAATAACGAGAGTGGATCCCGTAGAGTACTATGGACGTGTGGGGTGCTAATACCTTCCCCTCGTGTAATCGACTCCCTTACCCAATCTCTTGGTCGCAAGACCTTGGTTTCCCCTTTAGGTTTTTTTCGATGATTTTCCTTTCCCTTTCATATGAGATAAATAAATACTCGGTGACTACTTCATTGATTTTTTCGCTACAGAAAAATGGCAACTTCACTAGGGACTCCATGTCGACCAATTGCTGGTCCTTCCCGTGAGTCACTCCTAGCTCCCGTTTTTCTTTTCTTAGGGTGTTTATCATTATGCTTTTATGGATTATTCATTTGTATATGTTTGAGCGTATGTTTGCATTGCAACTTTATTATTATTTGTTATATTGTTGATGTGTTGGTTTCTGTCTCTTGATGGGTGGGATGTTACTATGAGGTAAAAGGCCCAATACCCAGGCCAAGTGGAAACCACAGGAACACTAGGAATAGAGTGGAACATGAACGGCTAGTTGACTTAGGTTTCACTATGCCTCCATGTCGTCCATGCTCAGATGAGGTACAAATGAGGGGATATCATTTTCACGTAGGTGATATGGCGATAGTTTTTCAGGAGTACCCTCGATTCTGAGTTACCATTGACCTTACCATGACCTAGTATTTACCCGTGAGTGGGGAGGGAATAATCTTTACAGGTACAGATGATGACTATACATGTTCCGTTGGTGACTCTGATTATACTGATGACTTTGATCCTTGATATTCTGAATTGGTCCGGACCTTTGATCTTGTTACATATAACAGTGGTTTTGTTATCAGTTCATCAGCTATCCGGCATTGCAGAAACTTTGATCTTATGTTTATTGGACTTGCATCATGGCATATTTATTTTATAAAAGAAACGCAAAAAGCAAAAAATATATAACTGCCTAACCTGCATTTGCATTTCATTTCCAGGATTATTCTGAGGTCTGTCATTAGCATCAAAAATGGATAACAACATGGAGACAAATTCAGAGCCTCTTAGAAACACTGCTGCTTATCAGTTCCCACGCTTTGGTGGTCGATTGCGAGAGGTGGGAGCTCTTGTGAAGGGACCAAATGAAAAAAATTTCAGAGGATAATATGGAAATTTATTGCCGTTGGTGAATGATGATTTTGAAGAATGGGACGTGAGAACACTTCTTCAGTTCTATGATCCACATCTACGCTGTTTTACTTTCAGGGACTATCAATTAGAACCAACTCTCGAAGAGTATGCGCATATTATGGATGTCAAAATGACCAACAGTATTCCTTTTGTTCGAGCACCAGAGACTCCAGACTATATGGAGATCGCCAGAGCTCTTTATTTGACTCATGGTGAAGTTAAAAGTAATTGGATTAACAAAAGCGACACAAGCGGTCTCCCTCTGAATTACTTGATATCAAAGGCCAAGGGTTTTGCAAAGGACATGAATTGGACCGCATTTAATGCACTGCTGGCAGCAATGATTTATGGTTTGGTCCTCTTTCTAGTATCCGAGAAGTTGGTGCATCTATCTGCATTATGTGTCTTCATGAACGATAACCCTGTACCAACTCTACTTTCCGACACTTATTACACCATCCATTCCCGACATGGGAAGAAAAGGGAAGTCATGTGTTGCACGATCGCGCTTTATAAATGGTTGATGATGCATATGCCTACAAAAAGGCCTTTTGTTCATACTACTGATTCATCTTTATGGTCTCAGTGTATCATAGGGCTCACCTCGTATGATATTGTTTGGCAAAGTGTGATAGGTTTGAAAGAGGTCATTATAGGGTGTGTAGAATTCCCTAATGTCCCGCTTATGGGGACAGGGGGTTACATTAATTATAACCCTATCCTGGCACGCCTCAATTAGGATTCGCAATGTTAGATAGACCCGATGAACGAGAGGTGATGGATATCATTTATTTCGGTAAAGGGGAAGATGCAGTGTTGCTTGAAAAGGTGAAGATAGCATGGGGACATATTCGCCGTAAAGGGAAACTTTCTTTCAGCCAGAATGGAAGTGTAGCTTATGATGCTTATATGAGCTGAATTCAGGATCGTGTGAGGGAAGTGTGGTTACCTTATAAAAGGGGGAGGTTGTTATATCCTCAATCTGATTTTGACCAATTAGTGGATGTTCAAGCGGACAATTCTTTATTCTGTATTGATTCGTTTCCTGTGCAGCCTATCATAGAAGGATTAGAGTTCGTGCCTGTAACGTGTTTTAAGAATTTCAAGGCCGAAAACCTCAAACTCCAGGCTAGGCAGGAAGAAATGAATGTGGATATGTCATTTTCTTTGCAAGACAAGAAGAAGCTCATGAAAGAGGTTAAGCTGAAGAACCAGTTGCTAGAAAAACATGGTTTGCTTGAGCGGTTGAAAAGACCTAGGGCCGAGGGTTCTGATACTACCATTCGACAGGTTGAAGAGCTACAGGCTAAGCATCAAGATATAGAAAACCTTCGATTGGCTAAAAATGAATTGGAAGCTAAGCATTGAGAGGAAGTTAAGATGTTAAAGAAAAAGTTGTGAGAGAAAGATGTTCGCTTGACTCAAGTTATGAAAGAGTTGACAACAATCAAAGCCCAAGTAGCAAATAAAGACAAAGTTCCAGCAGAAGAGTCAGAGGTGGGAAATATAGATTTTGAGGATTGGGAACTCAAATATCATTGTTTGTTGGCGCTAGTGAAGAAGATGGGCTTTGTGAATGGAGACCCTTTCTTTGAAGATGATTAGCCGGACAGTTGAGCTTAAGGAGAATTTTTTTTACTGCACTTATCTTTTATGCTTGTTTTGATCGACAAGGTCACCGCCAGTCTTGTTGGATGGGGCCTCTTTAAAAATTGACTCTATTTGTACTAAATCACTACTGTATGGATGTTTATTCGACTCTATGATATGAGCAGTTTCTACTCTGATACTTTGCCTTTGTTTTGTTTTATCTTGTTGTCTATCCTATTACTTATCGATGCTTGATGAAAAAACCAAAGGATTCTCCTGGAAATGATAAAACACTTCATGCATAATCATTCATCCATGCATACCATATCATGACAGGTGGGTCACGACATGTTTTCTTATCTTTGATTCGGGTTTCTTTACAGAGATTGCTACCACAAATTTTAATCGTTACAATACTCGAAGCACTTTCAAGAGGTAGATGGAAAATCTCGAACAAGAGAATCGCGAACTGCGCGAAGAGATTACTGCTTTAAGAACCGGAATGGAAAACTTAACTGCTTTGGTAGAGTCATTGGTGGCTCCTCAGAATCAGCCACCACCACCTCCACCTCCTCATGCTACGCAACCACAACAAGCAACGGTTGTCTTTGAAATTATGACAGCTCCCGTCTCAGTTGCTCCAAATACTGTTGTTGCTCAGCATCGCATGCCTCATGGATATCCATGGGGAATGCCCGAAGGTTATACGCCAGAAGGATATAAACCTACTCCTCAAATTGCTCAATCTGCTCAACAAGTTATGACTGCTACCCCTCCCGTGATGCACATTGCTCCTACTGTCAGCAATGAGATCCGTCATGTTGTGCCTCCAGTAATGAATGTTATCCATGTTGTTAATGATGTGGTCCACCATCCTACTCCTCCGCCAAGCGAAAGAATTGGATTCTATGACCGAATGGATGACTTCCAAGATCAGTTTAATGATATGCGAAAAGAAATGAAATCCCTTCGAGGAAAAGAACTGTTCGGACAGAATGTAAGCGATCTA